ATAAAAACTAAACATGAGCGGACTATTTGTTGGTAGAGTTTTAACTATAGCTATATAAGAACTTACCCCTAACCATAAGCAGACTTTATTTGTTGGAGGAATTTTAGCTTTTGCATAAACCTGATCTGATAACAAGAACTGGGTTTCCATGGGATCGGTGGATTCCTACAAAATAAGATAACAAAGGTTGTAGTTTATACCATTATCACATAGATAACATGGATCTCTGTAAATTCCTGGAGTAACCCAGGAAAACAACATTTGAAAATAAAAAAGCTCAGGAATTACACTACTCACATGTCAACATCATTGTCAGAATTATTTTAGGAAATGCAGCCTACCCAAAGTTATTTTTCAAATGTCAAGGCAAAAATGGACACAATATTCGCGCTTGATACAGGTCTGAATTTGGATTGTTATTAAATATTTGACACATAATAGGTTTCTGACACAGAATAACTGTAGTCAAAAACTTAGAATTGGTTTATATGATTTGAATTTTTATTCAGTTTTTTGCTTTTGTGCAATACACTATGCTGTTGCGAATTAACCCCCCAAAAAAACCAAACCCCCCCCGTTTTTTTTTGCAAAAAAAAAAAAAATAATTGAAGAAATTTTCTTTTTAATTTCTGAAATCTGAAATGAGAAAAAAAGATTGCCCCCCCCCCTCAATTTCTTTTTTAACCCCCCCCATTTTTTTTCACCTCCCCCTCCTCCCCTTTTTCCAAAAAAAATATTCTTTCCCTCAAGATATAGTCATTATCTCAATTCAAATTTCCAATGGAGTTTGCAACCATAATTACCCATCATAAAAGTCTTAAAAACATACATAATCATGTCTAAAATTAATATTCCTTAATCAGCATTTTTAATAGTAACTTCTAAAAATAAATTGACACCTACTCACCTCAAGACAATCCATTTCTTTATACATAATTTAAAAGCAGTGAAAGGGAGGTAATCCAAACTTAACATTGTACCTAAAAGTAATTGTCCATTAACAAGGAAACCCTTGTTTTTCCCCCTTTTTGGCCCCTAATTCCTAAACGGTTTGAGCCATTACCCCCCCACCCCCCCCCCCCCCCCCCACCCCCAAAGCCAGTCCTTACCATCCCTATGTGGTATGGAAACTTGTAGTGTAATTTCAGAGAGATCCATACACCGTTCCACAAGTTATTGTCTGGAAACTAGAAAAATGCTTATTTTGGCCTCTTTTTGGCCCCTTATTCCTAAACTGTTAGGACCATAACCCCCAAAATCAATCCCAACCTTCCTTTTGTGGTTATAAACCTTGTGTTTAAATTTCATAGATTTCTATTTGCTTATACTAAAGTTATTGTCCGGAAACCAAATGTCTTCAGATGACGACGACGTGATACCAATATACGACCGTGATCATATAAAAATTTAGCAGCAAATTTAGAATGCAATAAAGCATGGTTTACCTATTTCAATTCATAGTTCAGTTTCTTGCCTCAGCCTACACTAAATTTTCATGCATTTTATGAACATTTTTGGTTAACCACTGTTGAGGCAGAGACATTTTTGGTTAGGCACTGTTAAAAGTCCAGAATTTTTCCCTATATAGTCTATGTAAAATTTTAAATATGCTTATATACTTTACATATCTACCAACTTTTTTACTGCATGTTTTGTTTTGGCCTAATCATAAATGCAATAATTTAAGACTGTGAAAACTACATAGATTTGGTTACTCTTGTAAAGAAACTAGCATTTTATGCTAAAGAAATGATTGTTATTTGTTTTTTTTCTCTTGTATATTTCATTTTTTCTAGCTTTTGTAATTTTTTTTTCTGTTTTTTGCAGTTCTAAAATAAAAACATTTCATGAATGCATCAAAGGAAACCTTTCTGTATATCATGTATATAGTTATGTTCGACTTACCTTCCTTGACTGTAAATGTTTAACTATGTCTAATGAAGTTTTTATGTCTGGTATCTGTTGTTTTAATCTGAAAACAAAACTTATATCAATAGTTACATTCAAATTGACTAACTAATCAGTTGATTAATGCACTGATAAATCAATCTATTGGTTAATTGATTGGTTGATTGATTGACATGCACACACCTCCGAAAAATGTATTTCTTTGATTTGCAGACTTACAGAGAGTGTGACATTATGATCAATTAAGTTTCCTATTCAGCTGTAACTGCCTACTTTAAGAATTATATTTTTAGAACACTTAGTGTTATGTATAAAGTAGCACTTGATTTGAAGTTAAGCACTACTGTGTAGATACCTTTACTTATATTTCAGGGATAACTTATTTTGTAGGTTTGACTGAAATAACAAAACACAAAATTACAATTTAATGTTTTCAGAAAAATCATGTCAGCTGATCCATAAACCAACAAAATTAAAAAAAAACACTTGTCTTTTCATTTTTTCATACTTGACTTTTGTGAATATCCTTGTATCATTTTACATTAAAGGTTAAGAATGATAATCTTAACATTGCATATGCCAAAGGGAAGATGATTAATTAAAAAAAACACTCCTGGTTACAGCTGAGGATTATATGCCAAAACCCTTGGTGGTAACACTATGGTTAATGCTGTTATTCAAAGCATTCAAAGGATTGAAATAAGGTTAAGTATCTATAATCATGATAATGCATTGGTATCTGAAAATGAAAATTATAAATTTGATGCATCTGGAGTGCTTTTCTGAATGTACCTTCTTGAGGACAATTAAAACCCCAAAATTTGATAGCCAAGCATGTAAAACAGGTGTAAGTTCTGGCATCCATGAGGAGTTAAATGACCAAAAGGGATCAAAATAAAATCACCAAATCCATCTATGGTCACCTTTGCTGAACAGGTTTGGCAAGTTTATGCAACAATGTTAACTTTTCAGACATTAAATTTTATAAATATTACAGGTATACTAAATGTAATATTAAACATAATATCTTGTAAACAAACCTGCTTTTCTTTGTTAATATGTTATATTCCATAAATTTGTATTTCCTATGTTGTTCATCCAGCCTTACTAAAACATTTTCAGCTGATTCATTTTCTTCTCTCTTCATAAAACTATCAACATCTTCCTGAAAATATAATTAAAGAACCAATGGAACAAATAAAATGTATAGACATGCCAGGTATCCAGGGTATACGTTGTATAATTTTACCAATTCTGTATGAAATAAATGAAATGGAATATTATGAACTGTTATACAATTTCTGTTTAATTACAATTTCAAAAATACTTGGACATGTTTGTGTATTGTTGCTCAAAATTGCTTTTTGTACATCTTGTATATGGCTTTGGAAGTAAGTGGATTAAGAAAATGTTGTTTTTTAAAAGTTCATAATTTCCAATTAAAATAAAAAGTAGGGCAAATAAAAGATAGGTAGGGAACTTCTGAGCAGTAAATCATACAAATACATGAGAAGTGGATCATAATTATGTCATCGAGACAGCAGCCTAATACAAAAAGACATTTAGGGGTCCACATAAAGTAGTTTCAACAATAGATAAGTGTTAATACAACATGTCAAGCTCTAAATCTCTCCAATCTAGAAAAGTTAGGAATAAATTATACAGAGACAGTATCCTAATTGTCATCAATGAAATATTGGCTAAATGAAAAAAAATTAAGACAACCATTTATAAGCATGATAAGTTCCTGACTTCAGACAAGTAACTTGAAGTTTTATGGCTATTTGCAAAATTCCTGCACCAGTAAAATTACAATTCTATGTTGCCATCTGAATGGTATATCAGCCTAGAAAATGGCCTAGAGTGAAAGGACACAGTTTATTTTCAGTTAAATCAAAATCTTTGCAAGGTCTTCATGTCTGTCTTTCTCAGATACATGTACAATAACAAAAGGTTAACTAATATTTGGTGTACAGAATGATTGTGAGGTGTACATGTCCGCCTGCAAGGGTTCATTTGATACATACTACATTGTACGTGAAGTAGATCTTTATCTTAAAGACTATCAAATGCAACTTTAAATTGAATCATCATTCATAAAGCAGGCACGACATATCAGGGTGTACATTCTTATTTAAGATTTTTTTATACCAAAATGTATACATTCAGTGTAGGGAGGCCAAAAATGTTTGTCATCCAGAAAAAATTAATTAAGAATTATGTGTCTGCATGTTCATTAACAGGTTTCATACCAGTAACCTTCTGAGATATTAATTAAAGCTTTACATAAATAGTGTATGCTGTGGTCCCCAGATACCATGGATACACCAATCTCGAATTGTTTTTTTATGAATTAGTTACACTAGTTGACCTGAGGTCAATCAGCATGAATGACCTCATCAAACAATCAATTCTTACTGCGACATAACAACAAAAGCATTGTGACATAGGAAATTTATGGGAAAGTGCACTAATTCGAAAGTCGTCTATTAGATTCCCACGTCTTGCTGTCAGCGACATTCATTGCAGTTGAGTTAATAAAAAATCACAAATGCTTGACCAGGCACAGTAAGGCACCACTCGACCATATGGACGAAAGGAGTATGCAACCCATGCAAATCATGAGGTCTATGGAACACTGATGCTACATAATCAATTTTTAAAAAGCAAACTTTGAATGTAGGATGAATTGATGTTCATAATTTCTGTCCAAAAAATACCAGTCAAAAATGAAAAAACTTATCCAAAATATCTTAAAATATATAAAAAAGATCTTACTAATTACTGAATTCGTGTATTATTAAAACTATTTCATGACACAACACGTGGGGATAAGTTTTTGTTTGGTCATGAAGTATGTCTATGGGAATATATAAACAATAACAAATAAGTTTTTCAACTTAATGATAAACAATGTGTCGTGTGTATTGAATAAAGCGTCATACTACAAATTCTGCTAAAGGAATGCTGGAATTCGCCTTTAAATCTGATTTATCTGCAGATTCTGCTTTGGAATCACCCGTAGCCATGATGCTTGTTGAAAATAAGTGTATTCGGAAGTTTTCTCGGTTTTGTGTATGAAGACGCCGACAACTCCCGATAGATTCGAGAGGAATTATAAATATGGCGATGTTGAGGGTAATGACTGAAAAATATCCTTCTTTGTTTATGTAAAGATGTGACAGATATAGAATCTTCAAAAACAGTTTACGATAATGTCAAGTCCTAATGTTACATTATTATGTGAACAGCATTATGTACCCTTCAGAAACGAGACAGTTCAGATCATGTTTTAAAAAATTAATGTAGACTGAGCTGTTGTGCAATTTTATATATTCTCTACTCAAATTTAACGTGAAACATAATGGCAAAATCAGTTCTTATCTTACATTTAAGTCACAGCTTGCCAACATAACATCTTAAATGTTCCATCAAAATTTCTCAATTTACAATCAATGTTTACTCATGACAGTTACAGCTATTGCATTATTTTGCCACTAGTACTGAGGCTCTAGGTAAACTGGGAGTGGAAGGCTTGTATATCACCATTAGTATTATATTCCGCCTTCCTGTCATCCGTACATTAAAATACCCTCGTTTACAATTATAAACCCAGCATAATGCAGCGTCATCTCACCTAAGGTTTATGTACAATGTTACGAAATCAATAAAATTTCCCTCCTTATCTTCCTCAATACTAATACCAAATCACTTGTCAAATTACATAGCTTTTCAAACAAATTAATAAATGTTTGTAAAACATCTCTTTTAAGATGGGGTAGACTAAAACGATTCTATGGATGTTACATTGCTGATGTGACGAAATCTGGTAATGCACAATATCATGGCTGCACAGAAAGGGAGATTCAAATATTAATCATAACAGGAATTTTGTAGGGATTCTTCTCACAAATCTTGTCTATTTAGCTGACCAACTAGTTATATTAATTTTTCCGTATACGTCATAACATGTACATGTGATCAAATATGTGCTAGAATTTGGGTTTTGGTCCAGAGACGGCTTTGGAATCATAGCTTTAATGTCTCGTGGCCATGGGATATCATATTGGTAATGTGCAGAAGGAATCAGAAATTAGCACCTAAGAGCTATGGTTCAGTAACTAGTCCAAACATAGCTCTTGTATACTGACGTCAAACAGTAGATCAGACCTTGATAGGGCTTATTGAATTTTTAGTTTTGAAATGGAAGACACTTTATTTTAAAATATAAACACAAAAAGTAGGTTGGTGAAGCTGTTTCCTGAGGCATTTATGGGTTTATACCCAAAATCTGGTTTCAATTCAAAATAATTTGAAATTAAATAAGCAGATTCAGAATATTGGCTGTCCTGGTGCAACCTTTTCCACATAAGAAGCCATAGCTGAAATAGATATCTAGATAAAAGGTTAATTAATGGTGTCAAAAAAAATAGAATGTTTGGAGGCAAAGGGCCATATACTATTATTGAAATTTTATACACAAGTTAGAGCTTTGGTCCTAAAGCAAAAAATATTGACATTTACGTTTAGTCCAGAACATTTGCTTTATAGTCTATGTAAAATATTTTTAAAAAATCAGTTTATATACTATTCTGCCTACTTTTTTTCTGCCAGGAGTCAAGGAACAAGTATATATTTATATTCGGTTTGCCTTATCATGTGAGAAGGACTTTATATGTTTTCATCTTTCATTTATATAGTGTTTCATTCCCAACATGATCTTGGAACAGGAAATTCATATGCTGCATACATAAAAAAACATTTCATAATAGTTCAAGGACTCATCATTTTGCCATTACAAGTTTGCAGTTTTAACTTTGACAAGTCCAACTCATTAATTCAGCTTTCTGGTGAAAACAATAAGAAATAAATTTAGAAAACAAATCACATTTATATGGGGTATTAGGTTTTACCCTTGTCCGTACGTCCTGAAATTGGTTTCCATTCTCAATCTTAAGTTTGCCATAACCAATGGTTATGAAACTTATACACAATGCTTATTACCACAAAATACAGATCTAGTGTAAATTTGGGTGGCATCACTTTCACATTTCTAGAATTATGCCCCTTTTCAAATGGAAAAATTGCTGAATTTTTCGTTTCCGTTCCCTTAAGTTTGCCTTAACCAAATGTTATGAAACTTATAAACATTGCTTATTACCACAAAACACAGATCAACTTTGAATTTTTGTGGCGTCACTTTTACCGTTCTATATACAAATGGAAAAATTGCTTAATTTTTCGTTTCCGTTCCCTTAAGTTTGCCGTAACCAAATGTTATGTAACTTATACACAATGCTTATAACCACAAAACTCAGATCATGTTGAAATTTGGGTAGCGTTACTTTAACCGCTCTAGAGTTATGCGGCTTCTGCCCTTTTTCAAATGGAAAATTTGCTGAATTTTTCGTTTCCATTCTCTTAAGTTTGCCTCAGCCAAATGTTATGAAACTTATACACAATGCTTATTACCACAAAACTCAGATCAAGTTTGAATTTGGGTAGCATCACTTTTACCGTTCTAGAGTACTGTCGCTTTACAACGTTATAAATATGGAATTGGAGGCATCTTCTGTGTGCCATGTACACATTCCCCATTAATTATACGACCGCAAAAAAAATTTGCGGTCGTATATTGGTGTGACATTGGCGTCGTTGTCGTCGTCGTCCGAAGACACATTGGTTTTCGCACAATAACTTAAGTTTAAGTGAATGGATCTCTATGAAATTTTTCCATAAGGTTCAATACCTCAAAAGTAAGGTTGGGATTGATTTTGGGGGTTATGGAACCAACAGTTAAGGAATTTGGAGCCAAAAAGGGACCAAAAATAAGCATTTTTCTAGTTTCCAGACAATAACTTGTGGAACAGTGTATGGATCTCTCTGAAATTATACGACAAGTTTCCATACCACAAAGGGATGGTTAGGATTTACTTTGGGGGGTTATGGCTCAAACCGTTTAGGAATTAGGGTCTAAAAAGGGGGAAAAAACAAGTGTGTCCTGGTATATGGACAAATACTTCAGTACAAAACATAATTTAAAGCAGTGTAAGGGAGGTAATTCTAATACATCATTTGAATTACCTCCCTTACACTGCTTTTAATTTATGTATAAAGTAATGGTTACTGGACAATTAAGACAATTTAAAAGCAGTGTAAGGGAGGTAATCCAAATACAATGTTTTGATTACCTCCCTTACACTGCTTTTAAATTATGTTTTAAAAAATGCATATTTTTAAAGGAAGACCAGTAAAAATATCTGCAAATGTTGCATCTTAATCTTTTACAAAAAAATCCATATGAAAGATTTGACACCATATTTTAAATTCTATTATAAAATAGATTAAGTTAGCACTATGGTAAATTTAAATGGGTAATTATGGTTGCAAACTCCATTGGAAATTTGAATTGAGATTATGACCATATCTGGAGGGAAAGAATTTTTTTTGGGGAAAAAGGGGGGTGGGGTGCAAAAAGAAATTGTGGGGGTCAATTTTTTCTCATTTAAGATTTCAGAAATTAAAAACAAAAAATTCTTCAAATATTATTGCAAAAAAAAAGTGGGAGGGGGGTAATACACAACAGCATAGTGTATTGCACAAAAGCAAAAAAAAAGGGGGGGTAAGTTTTTTTTTTAGTGGGGGGAGGGGGGTCAATGCACAAAAGCAAAAAATTGAATATAAATTCAAATCATATAACCAATTCTAAGTTCTTTGACTACAGTTATTCTGTGTCAGAAACCTTTTATGTGTCAAATATTTAATTACATTCCAAATTCAGACTTGTATCAAGTGTGAATATTGCGTTCATTTTTGCCCCAACTGTTCAGGGTTGGACCTCTGCAATCCTATCCAGCTGCGCTCGGCGAAGCAATTTTTTTTTAAATGCACTGATGGTTTCTAGACTCAACTCATATTGTTTAAAAATTGATGAGTCCAGTCTAAAATTTGTATGGGTCATAGACTTGTCATATTGGGAACCCTAATTCAAGGATCAATTTGTTTCACTGTATATGATTAAACATTATAATTAATTAACTGTCAAATCTGCTTTTAATATATATTTACTGAGAAGTGGAAATGGGATTCATTTCTAAAGAAATTGATCTTGGGCAAGTTATTGACTTTCAATACTGTGGATTTATTATATTTGTATTGTACCAGTTTTTATGGATTTTGTGGTTATAGGTTACCCATGAATTTATGTGTTCAACAATGCACACATTTTCTATAGGCTTGAATACATATTTTAGCAAAACCATGAAATCAAGCATCCACGAAATTATAATTGTTCCTCAATCATTAAAAGTGGTACCTATGAAAATAAACGATTCCACAGTATCCATCAATGAATCTCCATTCTCAGGATCATTGGTTTTAATGTTCATACACATAATGCAACCAACGAATTTCTATTTTTAGCAAGGACAGTCTCAGTTTGAGGACCGATGGCCCTCCATGAGACCGACTGCCTTAAAGTTACTTAGACAGGAACCAGTTACCAAAGCAGAATGGCAGGACCTGTTCTGGTAGGTTTTCCCACTTATTATAAATATAAAATATTGTTAATGCTATATTGAATATAGATTGAATAAAAAGAGACGAATGGTGAGTTTTTATAAGACAGCAAGTAACCTTAAAATACAAATCATCTAGATATCCAAAGATCACATAACTGCCTTTATGAAGAACAAATGTATACATTATAAGTCTAGCTCTAAACCAACCCTAACTCTTCATGTCTGTAAATTTAATAAAGTCAGCTACAGGTCCAATATTTACAACAAATTTTAAATTGGCAAAAAACATGTAAAAAGTAAAATAACAAAAATACCAAACTCCAAGGAAAATTCAAAACAGAAAGTCCCTTATCAAATGGCAAATTCAAAAGCCCAAACACATCAAACGATTGGAATTAACTGTTATATTCCTGACTCGGTACAGGCACTTCCTTATGTAGAAAGTAGGGGTTTAAATCTGGTTTTATAGCTAGCTAAACCTCTCACTTGTATGACAGTCACATAGAATTCCATTATATTCACATTGTGTGGGCAAAACAAACAGACATAATAGATAAAAATGCCAAAAATTGGGGTACAGCAGTCAACAATACAAGTGTTTTAATCGTAATCACTATAAAAACAGAAAACTATGTCGAGAAAGAAAAAAAAGTGCATATAGACACTCTACAGACAAAGCACAAATGAAAGACAAGAATACAAAAAATGACTATAGTACAATAACACAATGGTAAAATAAGGTACCATTTATAGGATTCCTGAATTATCATGGTTAAACAGGTTTTATGAACATGATGAATACTAAGCTTTTTCCACAATAAATGTATCTTGGAGCAGTATTGATATTTTTGAAGGCCAAAACACAACTAAAATACCAAGCTATATAACTTTCAAAGAAGGCCTGCAGGTAATTAAAGCAAGCTAAAATACATTATCTTATGATGATAAAGTCGTACTTTCTTACACTCTTCAATTTGCCACTGTACTGATTTCTTTTAGCAATTTTATAAATAGTGTACTGTTATATAAAAATGCAATACAGTCTTTAAAACAATTTTATGTTAACATCATGTTTAACACTGTTTTACTCATTACAGTGCTGTACATTCAGTATGCCTTTGGGATGACAAAGGTCCACAGAAGATGTATCAAGCTTTACAAGATGATATACTAGAATTTATACAGCATGCTCAATCAGTAAGTTTTGTGAACATTGCTTAAAGTATTGTTTAACAACTGTTATAGAGTGTGTTTATAAAACTTGTAGTTTACCATGTCAACTCCATGTTTATTAGGTGATGTTTTTCTGAAACTGGTGAGAGCTGTTGTTTTATAATACAGGGCTCTTGGTCACAAAACTTTACTCAGTACTTTGAAGTACAAGATTTGTGCTCGAAACATCAAATCCAGTATTTTGATTGGTCAAAGTCTGAATATTATAATCGTACTCGAAATTTTTATGATCACAAGGCCACACCTGTATTGATTCATTCTTGTTATTATGAAAATGAAAACACACCATACTGCCATATCACGTTTCACTACTATAGTTTCACATATAATACATATAAAAGAGGAATTATCAAAAATACTGGACAATACAACAGACAATTTTATCATTTGCTCCTTTCAAAACCAAACTGAATTTGAACATGTAATTAATTCAGTACATATATACATGATATAGGTAATGAGAATTTTTTTTACGATTTTCATCTTTCAATAAACTCTATATCTATGAATTGCGAAATACAGGTCAAGGTGGCCATATTGAAAATCAGTGAAAGGTCATACTACAAGTAAAAGTTGATTTAAATTATTTCATGACATTATATCTTTTTAATAATTGTAGAGGGTATTAAAAAACCAAGAAGATTCAGCATTACTTAAAGCTTACATAGCAGAATGGGGTAAATTCTTCACACAGTGTGACTATTTACCTAAACCATTCATGCAGCTTGTTACCTCATTATCGGGTAAACCACATGGTAGCGTACCAAAGAAAACTCCAGGAGAGGAAAGTTTAGTTAGAAAGGTAAATTTTAACAATTAGAAATTTACACTTTTTAGAGGGTTACAACTGTTATAGAATGTCAATTTTGATTAGGAAAGAAACAAAGATCAGGAAAAGTATTGCTATGTGCAATAATTTGTAAGTTCAAAGTTCAAGTATTCTTTACAAGAAGATTTTGCTAAATTATGAGTTTTTCTAGAAAATAAAGTCTCTTTATATATATATAATTAGCTGTCCTTTAAGATAACAAATAAAAATTGTACAGAAACATTGTAAATCTTAAAGATTAGTTATAGGAAGGAAAATAACTTAGAAAAAGATCAAAGTCCCACCATGAGCAGATCAATAATGCTTTGAAAAGGGGTTGTAAATGTAAAGATTGAGTGCCAAAAACTCAAGTTTATTTATGTAGATATTACAATGTCTGTCTAGAAAAACATTCTAAAATGAATGAACTGTATACTGTATATCGGGTTTTTTTCGCATCAGCTTTTTTTAGCGATTTGATGGCAAAATGGGTAGGTTAAATTTTCACTGCGTATAATTTTCGCTGAATGGGAAAATACAAGACCTGTATCAAGCTTGAATATTGTGTCCATTTTTGCCCCAACTGTTCAGGGTTGGACCTCTGCAGGCATATCCAGCTGCGCTCAGGGATGCAGTTTATTGAACATTCCACTGATTGCTGTGTTGTCTAAAGGGATGACATGTATGATTAGTCAAATTGAATTAAATTATTAAGAAAACAGAGATCTTAATGAATGATGCACACTTTTGTAATCTGCCGATCAACACAAAGACTGATTTTAAAGATAATATAATTTCACCTTTAGAGTGAAATGAGTTTGCATATCAATTTCGTGTAAACTCGACAATTAATAGTATAATGTATGAAAAGTAAAGACAGCGATAAATCTAGGAATATGCAGGAAAATTTACGCGGGGTCAAATTTTCGCGTTTCTTTAGGTGCTGCGAACAAAGTGAAAATGAAACACACGCGAAAAAAACCTGATATACGGTATTTCATTTAGCATACAACCAAATCTATTATGTGTGAGTTAATATTCTTTTTCTTTACAGTTAATGTTAGATAGCTGGAATCAAAATATATTTTCCAATATCAAACAGAGGTTACAGGATAGTGCAATGAAATTATTACATGCTGAGAGAAATGGAGAGGCTTTCGATTCTCAACTTGTTATAGGTGTTCGAGAGTCTTATGGTAATTAAGTCACTGTTTGTTTGTGATTGACTGCAGCTCTTCTGGATTTGACCTTTTCAAACCATCCACGTTTCACACACAATCTTTTATATTTTAAAGCAGTTGAATGACAATTTGTTCATAAAATATGAATAAAAGGAGATATTGGGTAGATGACAATAAGACAGCATCATTATAAACCAGAAAATACAGTATTCAATGATAGAAATCTGTATGTCATATTAACTTGATATGTAGCAAAAGTAAGATCTTTATGATATTTGATGTCCCTACGAAATTCCTTCATTTGGGGCTGCAATCTACATTTAAAATATATAATTGATAATATTTATATTTGGTTTTATTTTATAGTTGAAATTTGGTTTAAACCTATTAATTGCATGAAAATCTATAATTTTGTGTCACACTACAGTTGAGTTCAACAGCTTGACCCGTCTTTGATTTTTTTTAACTTTCAGCAATTAAAATATTTTTGTCCTTTTATTTTTCCAGTAAATTTGAGTTCCGATGTAGAAGACAAATTGAAGATTTACCGAGAGAATTTTGAGAAAGCCTACTTAGAAGCAACAGAAAAGTTTTACAAATTAAAAGCTCCACAGTACTTAGAGGCTAATGGTGTACAGAATTATATGAGATATGCTGACTCTAAACTGAAAGAAGAGGAGGCCAGAGCTAGGAGATACCTTGAGACAGGATGGGGATGTAACTCAGTTGCTACAGTATGTATGATATGTTTAATGGGAGATGTGGGGTATACATCAATGAGACAGAAACCCAACAACAAAAAACATCGTAGAGGGCAACAAAAAGTCTTTAACAGTACTATAAATTCAGAAATGATTGCATGCATTTATTGCTGCAATTTTTGAAGAATGAACAAAAATGTGAGATTAATTGTTGCGATTTCAGGAAAAGCTTTATACAGATATATGTATCAGATATCAGAATGCAATTTCTTATTGCGATACTCGTCCAGTCACATTATAAGCATAGATAAAAACCTTGCAATAACTTCTGAATTTACAGTACATTGTAGAGTGCAACAAAAAGGCTTCAACAATAAATAGGTTTATCTCAACTGTCAATTGATAAAAAGGGGTTATGTCAAATTAGAGAGAGGTTTGAAAAAGAGATTAGATACTTAAAAACAAAGTATATCTATAAAGCAGTTAGTCAGTGACCACATTAAATTGTTTCCTTTAATTAAAACAACAAGTAGGTGCTTTTTAGTTCTAAATTTCCAGAATATTGAACCTTTATTTGATTACCTTTAAAAAAGAATAATGATCACAGGTTCAGTACATTGGTGTACCTTTCAATTGCTAAGGCCAAAATTAAAATTAAGTTTGTTTCCCCACGCCCCGACCGACTGAGAAAATAGCCGCCAACTCAAAAATATTTTTTTCGTTCTGAGTTGAAATATTTTTTTTTAAATATCTCGGGTACTACCGGATCCGGGTATAACCAGATCGGGTACGAACTTGCGTACTTGCCGGCATGGTAGACTGGTTCCCTGTCCTTTAATCTGTTTGTTTCTGACAACTAAGGTGACTCAGACAGGAGTCCAGAGACCATGTATGTTCCGGTTTCTTGATTAGACGCGTAAACACGTCCTGGACGCATGGAAATCGAGCTGGACGCGTCATTTTTTAACCCCGTGAGTCCCTGGGACGCGTCCTGATTGTATCCCCTGAGTCACAAACACATCGTTTTGCCTAGATGATTTATAATTCGACATTGTTTTGACAAGAAACTAAACCGAAGTCGATGTCGAAAAATCTTTGTGATGCGTAGATCAAAATTTTTGACAGTTGATTGATTTATTTTTTACTTTGTCTGCATGGTTGAACAAGCCAATGAACGATCATGACCCATTTTTGTCAAATTGAAAAGTAAAAATTGTTTGCAAACTTTTTTTTTAAATACAAATGCTTGACTGTACCTTAAATGGAATGCATATAAAATCAAACTAAATTATTAAAAGCAGTATAATCCAGAAATTAAATGAATTCCTTGACCACATGTTTTCTTTTGTTGACAAACATGTCACATGATCACTTTTGGTGGGAAAAATACTTGGGGAAACAGTTAAATAACAGACAACCCTGTCTGGATATTTATAGACATTTAAAACAAGTTGCTTTTTAAAAAAAAAAAGTCAATACGTGAACCTTAGAACTTTTTTTATGCTAATTATTATTTCAACTGAATTGTAAATTATATCTCAGTATTTTCATTACCATGTGTGTGGAGGATAATATTTTCTTTTTATTGTCAATCAGGACAATTATGGCATGTTGAGAGTGTTGTTAAATATAAAATAGGGAGATAAGGAATGTTTTTATTTCAATAGTTCATTTCTGGATGGTGTTAGCTTTCATTTTTACCAGTGTGAAAGGTCAAACTACTACCAATGGATGACACTTCTAGGGTGTTTATTGGTAGAGGTAACATTTCACCTAGAATCCCTCATTAATTTTATATATATTTTTCTTTTTAAAATACATATTTCAGAGCAAGTATTATACTTTGTTTCGTAAAATGTGAAAGTTTTATTCCTACCAAATAAGACAAAATCTACTTGCTTACCATCTTATTTTATGCCGTAATATCCTGTTCCACCTTTGAAGTGGGTTTGGATCCAGCTAATACATTCAATTTGCTGCTTATACATGTATACTTAATATACCTGTCCAAATCTGGTGCCTGTTTTTTTGTTTGCTTATTATCATGTCTGTTTTTCGGTTTTATTTTTGTATAAAAATATTGCCATTGATTTATATCTTGTACAACATTGGTCAATTTGATGTCATTTAGCTCGCTTTGCTAAGACTCAACATTCAACGCCATGTTTATTGAAAAGTTCTCTCATTGGCAAGCATAGTTTACCAAATATCATATAATCATATCAGTCGCAGGATAATTCGATTATTAAGAAATGCGGTTCCTTCAATCAACATACGTAATAAATCTCAAAACATAACACTGTTTTTTGCTAACTTATGTTTGTTGCCTATAATTCAGAATTTAACAGTGTTTTGGGATTTTTTGCTTAAAGTTAACTTTTGAAGCATGGGTCCCTTTTCAAAAGTCTCCCAACTACTACCTCATATGTGAACTTAAGTATAGGGGAAATTTTGTTCGCTAAACGTAATATATGTTAAAGAAATCTTCAACTTGCTCTATTTTGCCTGTGAAGACCATAAAACCTTCATCTCTAAATTTACAGTGTAATTTGATGTTTTCTTTCCACTTGAACTTATCTAAGATATTTATTAATAGGACAGACCATAGATGTATAAACCCATACATCTATGGACAGACAGATGCAGATATGTGCTTGATGGTGAAAATATACCACCTATGGAGGGGGCGCTCCTATAACTTGTTTCTATAACTTTCCATTAAACTCAAATTTATTGTTTCTTAGAATTAATTAAACAAATGCAGTTTAATTTTTTTTGTTAAGAATCTTTAAAGGATATTCGTTTGTGTCAATTAATTCTTCTGCATTGATAACTGTTTCTTTTAAATTATCAATGATCATATTTGTGTACATTTACGTTTCATCATAGGCAATAAGAATGCATTCACTTTTTACCTCGTGTGTTTTATTAATGAAATCTTTTGCCTCTTCAGAAATGGTTTTATATTAGATCATTTAATCTCTCAATGCGTCTCGTGGGAGAGTTACACTTATTGATGATCAGTCATAAGGAACATTAATTAATATCTCCTACTAGTTGACCATTTCGCAATGCCTCATTAATTATTTCTAGATTAATTTAATGAATTTTTGAAAGACTGAGGTACATGTGTCCATGTTTTGAATCATTATTATTCTTTAAGAATTATATGTATATATGGGAATCTATTTCTTTTTTTTTTTCTATATAGATTATCAACTATATCTTTTATTACCATGTAGCATATAAGTGAGTTAGCGATCTGTGTAAAGTTCTTTATTGCCAAGTTTTAGATATCTTAAATGCTCCATATGGAGGTGCTCTTAATTGCAGGAAGCTAATACAGATAAGAAGAATAAATGTTCCGAATGAACAATAATTAAGGTTCCGAATATTCCTCCATAGACTATATTTCTAACTAATTAATATGCGTGAACCCCTGAGGGTTCACGCAATAAACAGCTGATACAGGAGTGCCAGGGAAATAGTTAAACTTGGTATAAATAATTCAATCTACACCAATTTATTGGGAAAAGGGTGTAAAGGGGAAGGGGTTAATTTGTAAAGTTTTTATTTTTTTTTTGTCATTTAAATTTTGGTAACTAAAAATCACCAGACAAATTCTTTTACTGAGTTTATTATAAAATAGTCCATTCATATTTTTCAAAAATATGTTCCTTTAGGATAAGGGGGAGCCAAATTTTTTGCAGTTTTTAAATTTTTCTTATAATTTAAAACTCAAAAATCATGTTAATATAAAGGAAATTAAGGGGTAGACATTCTAATACTTACATTAAAGTTGCTACAAATGGTTATATGTGCCAGACATACACATGATCGATTTGTTTTGCTCTGTTGGGTATTAAAAAAAGATTATCAAGATATAAAAAAAAAAAAAAAAAAATGCCTACCTACCTTCCCACCTACAACAATGTGGGTAGGGGTGTGGGGAAACATACACTTTTTTAATTGTGGCCTAGTACAAAAACCTTACGGAAAACAGATCATGGATTACGGTAAGACCAGTAATGCAATTTAGCATTTGAATTAACATTGGATTATTGAATGTGCATTGATTTTAGATTTTAACAAACAAATATTATCATTTCAATATACAGTAAACTTGTCAGATAGAAATCATATATTAAAAAAATCAGTGTTAACCAATGACTATATACATCTTTTATTGGCAAAACTTAAAAAAGAAGATGCAGGACAATTCTTTTTTTTAAACATATATCCTCAATGCTCTTCATCTTCGTACTTTATTTGGCCTTTTTAACTTTTTTGATTCAAGGGTCACTGATGAGTCTTTGTATACGAAATGTGTGTCTGTGCCTGTTATCTATGATGAGTTTATATTTAACTTTGTTATTTTACAGTTAACAGAATGTTGTGTTACTGTCCTGGTGACAGCATTTAAAGAAACCATATTAAAAGAATGTGCTCAAATGATCAAAAGTAATGAAACTGAAAGTAAGTACTCTATAATGGAAAACCCAGTAATTTGGTGGGGGCGTAGGTGGCTGAGTGGTCTAAATAAATCATCCACAGTGATCACTAGCCTTTAATTTGTGAGTTTAAGCTCATCCATGAAAGAAAAAAAAATTCTCAGTACTGTATATATATATATAGATTTCAAGGAGCATACAAAAGTATGAAATATAGTACAATAAAACAATATTTATGACATTACATAGTTCAGTATTGTAAAAAAAAAACCACAAAAATGATTGCCTGTGTTTATGTATTTGCAAATTGCAATATAAACATTCTTTATTATCCATCTGTAGAAGCAAGCATGCCCTGTATTTAGAAGTTACCTTTTCAATTGATTAGAATTGACTTTAGAAGAAGAGTGATCTTTAAATCTTTAGAATGTTCGCTCCTCTGTTTCAAAATTTCAAGCTTTTTAAAAGACTGTTATAAATTGATAGTATATAAATACAATGTAATGAAAATTACAAAGTAGAAAAAAATTAAAGGTCTGTGTCCTTGTTTTTGAGATATAATCAATTGAAAATTTGTCAAGAAATGATTTGTTTTAGATTTTTCATATATTTAACATTGGCATCTTTCGCTCAAAAACTATAAAAACATAACAAGGATTTCATAAGATTATCAAATATGATTTTTAAACTAAATGTAATAAAATTATGAAAAGAAAAGTAGGGGTTTTATTTGCACTTCATGGATAAAACTAGAGGATTTGGAATGTCTGACAAAAAGTTAAAAACAAGAGTAGCCAACATCCTCAAGTAAAATCATATAAAATGCACTACAAAGGAACCTTTTAATTATCATTGCATTCTCATTAATTAAATGAAATTTGAATGGGTCATAAAACATCTGAGGTCACGCAGTATATCTACATTATTGCTGCATTTGTGCTGCTTTAAAAAGCTAATTCATTTACAAGGGTACAAATGGTAAAAGGGTTTATCCAGCACATAAATGTGAACCCATGTACATTCAGTTTTACAAATAACTTTGAATATTTAAAATATCTGATAACAGAAGAGAGGCAAAAGATAACAAAGGGACATTTAAACTCATAAGTCAAAAACAAACTGACAATGCCATGACAGAAAACCAAAAAACAATGAAAAGATGAAACAACAGTACACAAAACACAACATAGAAAACCGAATACCTAGCAACAGGAACCCACCAAAAAACGGGGGTAATTTGATGATTATTTGTACATTTCAGAATTGCGGTTGATGTTCAGTCTAATGGACAGGGTACCTGATGGTATAACACAGATGCTCGTAGATTTAGAACATTATATATTCAATCAAGGGTTAGCAGACATGATGGCTGCTGCTGAGTCAATTACAACAGTAAGTGGTTTTTAAGGCCTTGTTAAAGTTTAGTTAGTTCAGATAATTGGATAAGACATCTTTTTGCAACCCCGACAATTCTATTTTAAAGTCTTTTTGATAATTTGTTAAACGTTTTTGTGTATCTCTATAGATAGTTGTATAGAATAACAAACAAAAGATGGTTGATAGATAAATCTATATTATATGGCATAGCTGAAACTGACAATTATACGAGTTAGCTTATATATTGAAAGAACTTTTATTTATGGATTCAGATTTTATGGTTTGTGGAAATATAATTTTGTGACTTCAACATATTTTTCTGATTTGCATAAAATAAATCAAACGAAATACAAGATATAAAAGTATACAGAATGAAATAAACTATTCCCCCCTCAAAAATACAACCTCACAAAATAAATGTAAAATTAATTTTTTCTACAGTGTAAGGAAATATTACAGGAGATATTTTTCACAATAAATCAGGTATTATGTAAATTCTACGAAGTGCTTTGTCCTGAATGAACATGAAATGTTTTCTACTGGTTGTTAAGCAAGCAAACCAACAATGAATCAATCTATGAAGTGCATGTTCCTGAACCCTACTTGTTGTGAATTGTCATGATCACTGTCTTTCCTCTGTTTCAGGATTCAGAAAAATATGTAGAACAGTTATTAGAATTATTTAACAGATTTAGTACTCTAGTCAAAGATGCTTTTAATGATGATCCAAGATTCCTCACATCTAGAGATAAAGTAAGTATGGTTATATATTATGAATAATCTTATATGTATTAAAATTACAATTAATTAATACATAGTTCAAATAAGCAATATCTGTAGATAGATTTATTAGATTATTCAAAACTAAAAATACCATGTTCGGTAGGTACAAACTCTCATGATGTTTAAAAATTAGTAATGTTTTGAATTTTTATTTCATTGTTTTGTAATTTCTAAGATACTAATTTTAAAAAAAAATTGAATACTAGAATTTTAGAACATTAATTTGTAGTATGCATTCCCCATACAATATCTACAAAAATTACTTAATTGTCTATGATAAAAAGTAAAATAACAAAAATACCGAACTCCAGGGAAAATTCAAAAGGGAAAGTCCCTTATCAAATGGCAAAATTAAAACACATCAAACGAATGGAAAACAACTGTCATATTCCTGACTTGATACAAGCATTTCCCTATGTAGAAAATGGTGGATTAAACCTGGTTTTATAGCTAGCTAAACTTCTCACTTGTATGATGATCTATTTTTCAGGCTTACAAGTCAGTTGTGAATGACACATCAGTATTCCGTCTAGAAATTCCTATGAAAAATAAAGGGTGAGTCAGGAAATTGAATAAGTAGCCAGCCATATTACTTAAATGCTGAATTAGTGTTAGGCAAAGGCAAAGGCAAAAAGAAAAAAAATCAAATATAATCAAATTGTGTTGGGTCAAAAATAAAATCAAAATTGTTTGATGTTGCCTACCTAAAAAGCAGCATTTCCAAAAAAATTTATGACAAATGGTTTCAAATTTTTTTCAAAACAATTTTTTTTTCATGCCATAACATTTTTTTCTGGTATAAAACATGTAACTTATGTTGTTGGCCAAAAATAGAAAAAAAATCCCTACCTACCTACCCAACGTAGGCAACATTAAACAAAGAATTTTTAAGGGTGGCCTTATGGTGCTTAATTATTCAGTCTAGCACACAGATCACATATTGTAATTTTGATAATCACATTTCATCATATGAAAAATATTTAATTTGAGCATGATCAGGCCATGAAGAGGGTTAGATTTCTTTGTGGTAAAGATTGTTAATCGATAATATACCTCACAACAACAGGGCTTATAATGGAGATGAATTTGTAAATAAAAATATGTTGAGTTTATCTTAAATGAATTTCTTTTCCTTCACTGAATTTCAATCTAATTATCAGTGTTTTAAAATGACTTGATTTTAAATTTAAACTTAATGGCAGAAACAGTAGTGCAGCAAAAAAAGTTAATAAAAAATATACAACTTGAGGTTAACATATGTATTTACGAAAGCCATAAGTATATGGCATGCTTCAGAATTTTTAAAGTATTACCGGTATAATATTTTGTTTCAGTATTGGTGCCAAAACACAGCCCGAGTCAAAGTGTCCTGAACTTTTAGCTAATTACTGTGATATGTTATTACGTAAAACACCCTTAAGTAAGAAACTCACATCTGAGGAAGTCGAAACAAAATTAAAAGATGTGGTAAGTTTATTATCCTTAAGTCTGCTGTGTTTCCCTAAGAATCTCGTTATTGACTGATTAGCCCACTACATTATAATTTGAGACGTCAGCTTTTCTGTCATTATAAAAGTTATCATTACATATAGATTCTACCACTGCATCGAGTGTGATACGATATTTATCCACTAGAGACAGTTAAATTTTCAAATTTAAGACTTGAGGCTTGCCGAGCATTTTAAATATTTAAAATTTAACTGTTGAGGGTGGATAAATATCGTATTAAACAAGATTTGGTGGTGGAATCTGTTTCTCTAATGATTTTCAAACAATACACAGGTAAATTTATTCCCTCTTTTCGAATGATCTGCAAAAAGATGTGTTCTTTCTATGTGACGTCATCAGGCATGGTCGCCTTTTTTCATGCCGTCACAATAGGAAATTCAGAGGAAAGCAAGAAAATTCGACGTCATAACTGGATTTTAACCAATGAAGAACTGAGATCAAACGAACCACACGTTGATTAAATATTTTTTCATACAATGGGTGCAGAAAGGGATAAATTGACGAAGAATTAGAGAAAAGGTTTTATGTTATTGCCAATGTTTTTTAGTGGTTTGTCACAGTTTATAAAATGACATATTTGAAATTTCTATCTTTTATGATTGAATATCTTATTGAGAAGACGTTGGCATTGAAAATTAAAATTTATTATTAAAGTTATTTTGTGAATTGGTTTAAATTTTGTGTTTAGTATCAGATATTTGATTTTAAATATTTTATTTTTCAGTTACTTGTGTTAAAGTATGTACAGAATAAAGATGTTTTTATGAGGTATCACAAGGCTCATCTAACACGACGATTGATATTAGACACATCAGCAGACAATGAGAAAGAAGAAAATATGGTGGAGTGGTTAAGGGTAAGTGACCATCTACTCTACAGGGCATGTGGATAATTGCCTTTCCAGACCAACCATGTCCAATCAGTCGAAAAAAAATGTAGAAAAATTGAATACAAAGGTCTTTCTGATTATATGCTATAAATTCAGAAACTATTGCGTGCATTTCTTGCAATATTTGAAAAATAGACGAAAAAGCGAGATAATTATTGCGATTTAAAGAAAATCTGCATACAGCTATATGTATCAAATTCAGAATGTGAGTTCTTATTATTGGGATACTCATCCAGTCGCATTATTTGCATTAATAAATACCACGCAATAATTTCTGAATTTACAGTAAATCAATTATACTTATGTACTGTAAATTCATATATATTGCAAAAATTGCGACTGGGTGAATTTTTGCTATACGTGTATATACAACTTGCATTCTGAATCTGACACATAATTTGTATGCAGTTTTTCCTGTAATCGCAATAATTATTCTCATTTTGGTCTTTCATTTCGAAATTACAGCAATAAATGCACACAGTAATTTCTGAATTTACAGTGTTTTGATCAAACAAAAGAAACTGTGTCGACCATTCCATAGGGTTAGCAGAATAGACAAGGTAGAAGTTTTGTCCTCTGTATGCCTACTTTCACTGTGGACAGGTGGAAAAAACACAATCTACTTAGCTATACTGTATTATTGTGATGGTGGACACACCCTTATTTATCAATATACTGATTAGGGCTGTTCCAAAAATTATTGTAGTGCAGGGAAAGATGGCAAAAAATTTTTGGTGGTTGCATTTTCTTGAGAATTTTGTAAAAATTATAAGTAAAATGAAAATTTTATATTATAAGATTAAAAAAAAGTGCCTCTCATTCCCCCCATGCATTTAACTCTAGAACAACCCTTAGAACAAACATCTGAAAGCATCTGGCTACACTTGTAGTATTACAAGCACTTAAACAACTTTGCTCTTATCATCTCCCTTTTTGTCCCCTGTGTGACGCGCTGCGGGGCACATAGTAATACCAGGCTGTCTGTCCGTTTGCCAGATTTTTATAAAACCTGTTTCATAGATTTATATTAGCAATGTCTTGGACTTTGTCGAAAAATCAGTGCCAATCAACTATTTTTAAAACAGTTATTCCCCTTGGAAATATTAGATATATGGAAAATTGCATTGTTAGTGCTCTCACGTGTACAATTCTTGCAGATTTTTATGAATCTTATATCATAGGTTTATATAAGCAATTTCTTGGACAGTGTCAAAAATCAGTGCCTATAAATTCATACCTGCCAACTTTTGAAAATCCCCATGGGGGTTTTAGTGCGTGACAACAATTTCAAAGGTTACAATTCTTTGCGGCGTTTTTGCGTGTGCTGTTTTGTGCTCTAGAATAAGTGCAATATCTTTTTTTATATGGTATACTGATGATGTCAGCTTATAAGCCTTTTTCTTCTTTTTATACGACCGCAAAAATTAAAAATTTTTTGGTCGTATATTGGTATGACGTCGTCGTCGTCGTCGTCGTCGTCGTCGTCGTCGTCGTCGTCGTCGTCGTCCGGCGTCGTCCGGCGTCGTCCGAAGACACATTGGTTTTCGCACTCTAACTTTAGTTTAAGTGAATGGATCTCCATGAAATTTCACCATAAGGTTTAATACCACAAAAGGAAGGTTGGGATTGATTTTGGGGGTTATGGTACCAACAGTTAAGGAATTAGGGGCCAAAAAGGGGCCAAAAATAAGCATTTTTGTAACTTTCAGACAATAACTTGTGTGTAAGTGTATGGATCTCTCTGACATTGTACCACAAGGTTCCATATCACAAAGGGAAGGCTGTAAATGATTTTGGGGGTAATTGCCTCAAAATTTTAGGAATTAGGGGCCAAAAAAGGGGCAAAAAACAAGCATTTTTCTAGTTTCATGACAATAACTTGTGTGTAAGTGTTTGGATATTTCTGAAATTGTACTACAAGGTTCCATATCACAAAGGGAAAGCTGGAATTGAGTTTGGGGGTAATTGCCCGAAACGTTTAGGAATTGGGGGCCAAAAAGGGGCCAAAAATAAGCATTTTTCTAGTTTCCAGACAATAACTTGTGTTCAAGTGTATGGATCTCTCTGAAATTGTACTGCAAGGTACCTTACCACAAAGGGAAGGCTGGGATTGAGTTTGGGGGTGATGAATCATAAGGGGGTTCAAAAAATTTGGGGGGGGGATTTTTTTTTTTTCTTTTTTTTCTTTTTTTCCTTTTTTTTTTCTTTTAAAATTTTCCATTTTAAGTTGGTTATTTCTGATTTATATTTAAAAGCAAATAATAATGATATGGTAGGAGATACACACCAAACAGGATGTGTAAATTATTATATAATAAGTATTGTGCAATAGCAAGAAATTTTCAATTGCACAGTATTGCACAATAGCAAGAAATCTTCAATTGCACAGTATTGCGCAATAGCAAGAAATCTTCAATTTAACAGTATTGCGCAATAGCAAGAAATATCCAATAGCACAATATTGCGCAATAGCAAGAAATTGTCAATTGTACAGTATTGCGCAATAGCAAGAAATATTCAATTGCACAGTATTGTGCAAAAGAAGATACTTCATATAAATTGCTTATTTCTTGATCAATTTCAATGGGGTTTTATTCTTGAATTCTTGGGGTTCTTTAATATGCTGAATCTAACCGTGTATTAAGTTTTTGGATTTTGGGCCCCGTTTTTAAATTGGTCCACATTGAGGTCCAAAGGGTCCAAAATTAAACTTTGTTTGATTTCATCAAAAATTGAATTATTGGGGTTCTTTGATATGCCAAATCTAACTGTGTTTTTAGATTTTTAATTTAGGGTCCCGTTTTTTAAATTTGTCTACATTAAGGTCCAAAGGGTCCAAAATTAAACTTAGTTTGATTTTAACAAAAATTGAATTCTTCGGGTACTTTGATATGCTGAATCTAAACATGTGTTTAGATTTTTGATTATGGGACCAGTTTTCAAGTTTGTCCAAGTTGGGGTCCAAAATTAAACTTTGTTTGATTTCAACAAAAATTGAATATATGGGGTTCTTTGATATGCTGAATCTAACCATGTATTTTGATTTTGGACATTGGACCATAATAGGTAAATTAAAAAAATTGAAGTTCTTAGACCACATTCTTTCTGTGTCAGAAACCTATGCTGTGTCAAATATTTAATCACAATCCAAATTCAGAGCTGTATCAAGCTTGAATGTTGTGTCCATACTTGCCCCAACTGTTCAGGGTTCGACTTCTGCGGTCGTATCAAGCTGCGCCCAGCGAAGCATTTTATTATTTGCATGATTCTAGTAATTATATCAGTAGAAGAAATGAACATGTAGCTAGAATACATGTACCAGGATATATTTTCTTGTGAATGTGTAAGAATATTAATTGATTGTTGACTTTTCCCAATTTAAAATTATGCACAAAGAAGGACATTTATTTGGTCCTTGTGAAAAATAAAGCATGGTACATATTGTGCTTTCAATTATTTGGTAATTTAATCAGGTTGAAAACAACACCTCAAATGAGGGGTCAGCCCTCAATGTAATGACTATCCCTTTTATGAGGGGTATATTTCAAGTGATAAAAAATATTTTTTTGTAAAAACCACTTCTTAGTACAAAAGGGCACATATTTATATTATTTGATGAAACTTTTCCCAAGGAACTATACATCTATCTGGAATTATATGGTCAAAACATGTCCAAGAATTTTGTAATATTCATGGACTTATATCTTCTTTATTTTTAAAAATAAGTGGATCCCTCTTTTAGAAAAGTTGTTCATTAATATAATTAATTCTCCCCCATTCAAGTTAAAAAAAGCTAAGTTTTTCTTTTTTCTTTTATACAACAACAAAAGTGACCCCCTATCTGGGGGACTGTCCCTCATTTAAGGGATATCCCTCATTTGGGGGGTTGTTCCCAACCTGTTAATTACAAGAATGATAACACTGTAGTGTAACTTACAGTAAGGGTAATGTCAATAAGCTACTATTTATTATGTTTATGGTAGTACTGCATCATTGAATTTTGTCAATCAGCCATGCTTTTACTCTTAAGCTGTGTAAGAACCTTCTTGAAGATGAAGATTCACCTGCCATATTCACGATTTTACAATTCTGACAAACACAGAGGAATCCAAACAAGTTCAAAATTTAGCATGTCCAAATAGTCATGAGAGAGAACGATTTTGATTGGCTTATTAACTTGATCATGAGAAACACAGACTTTGATTGGCTGATCACGATTGTCTTCCCTTGGGAACAGTTCAAAATCGAGAACAATAATTTTTTCGTGTAGATTTTCACAAAATCGTGTTTTAGAGCTTTTTCACAGTCACGATCGTGCAATCGTGACAAGGGGTCAAAATCGTGTAGTACACACATAAATCGTGAAAGTTGGCAGGTATGTAAATTATTTTTAAAAAAGTAATGCCCCTGGGATATATTAATTATAAGAAAATTGCATTTTAAGCGCTCTCATCTGTACAATTTTTGCCAGATTTTTATCAAATTTATATTTAAAGATTTATATCAGTATTGTCTCTCACAAATTCAAAAATCAGTGCTGATCAAATATTAATGAGTTATGCCCCTTGGAAATATTAATTATATCAGAAATTGCATTGCATTTGCTCTTGAGCCTTCATTTCTCTAAGATATTTATAAAAAGTTTTAAAGAACAAAAATACACATTTTGGACAGATGAAATATGTGCAACAGGAGGGACATTGGAACTCTGTTCTTTTATTATGTTTGAATTTGATTAGATAAAGTATGTGTTATTATATACTTGTAGGAAGTAGGTATGCCTGCAGACTATGTTAATAAATTAGCCAGAATGTTCCAAGATATTAAAGTCAGTGATGATCTCAATCAAGAATTTAAAGATGCTCACCGCAACAATAATGAAGGAATTGCAGGTAAGTATAGTGGATGTTTATTCGAATTTTTTACTGATTCTATTTTTTTATGATTATGAATTTGATTCTTTTTGCAAATACTTTATGTTGTACAGTTGAAACTTGTTTTATGTTGTTGTTGTTGAAAACCAATGCCAAATCTCAGATCAGTCAAATGGTTATGTTGGGACCTTGCAACTTTGACTTATTGAGGTTTGACTGTAGTTAATACACAGTATAAATAAATTGTCAGCAAATACCAGAATCGATTTTATTATTCACATGTGAAATTATTCTGTAATTTCACTTCTCAGATGTTGTCAAGACATTATCAATAAACTGTTTTCAGATTACCGACTTTTGACTTCGGATTGTATAATTTTTCGACAGGTTACCTACTATGTGGTAGGACATCCTGGTACTCGGTCAAGTAAGAGCAACCAAAAGAAGTAAAATCAAATACATAATCGGTACAATTTGGGGGGAAAGTTTATTATTTTCCGATGGTTTTGTCGTGTATAGAAAACATGAAACAGTTCATTTTCCATAAAAATTGTACCAATTGAAAGCGTAATTTTACTTTTTTACGTTGCTCTTACTTGAACGAGTACCAGGATGTCCAACCGACAGTGTAGGTAACTTGTCGAAAAAATATAAACTCAGTAGTCAAAAGTCAGTTATATGAAAATAGTCTATTGCATTCATTGATATGAAGTAAGAACTGGTAGAAAAGATATAGGTCCTTGCATTATCTACCGGTCTATATTGTTTACACCACCTTTTGAATGAAAATTACATTAAAAGTATGTATAGAAATTCTTATAAACATTTTCATAATATCATTGAAGTGAAATTTAAAGTCTAATAGAGTAATAGGAATATAAGTATGCTTTATTTTATCACCTTCCACTTTCACAACTTGACTGTGGTTTTCTACAGCATTTGTTTAAATTTCTGACCAGTTGAACAGTTTGGTTAGATGAAACACATTGCAATTTGGTCAGAATTATCAATTAAGTGCAATAGGGAGAGAGCAACACTTGCAGTCAAGTCACAGTAAAAGAAGAACTAATCCAAAACTTCAAATATATCGAAAAATATTCAACTCATGATCGAACAACACTGATGTGTTACTGATGCTCTATGCGCTAAAACAACTAACTAAAATATTTACTAGAAGTGAACCTATTATTGTCTCTTTATAATAAAGATAGAATTTGAAAGTGAAATGTTGTCGTTGAATTTAATCTAAATAAATGAATTTTTTTCTAGATTCTATAAATATAAAAATCCTTAATGCTGGAGCTTGGGCCAGATCAAGTGATAGAATAGCTGTTACACTGCCAATGGAATTAGAAGACTATATCCCACAAGTGGAGGAGTTCTACCGACAGAAACACAGTGGTCGTAAATTACAGTGGCATCATCTGATGTCTAATGGTATTGTAAGTATTTTACTTATACAAGGTTTCATTGGTCATTGTCTATTATATTCTTTTATTGTTTGTACATAAATCATGGTTTTGGTTTTTTTTGTTTAAATTGTTTTACATTTTGTCAACATCAATCTATGATTTAATGGATGCAAATAACTATTTACCTGCTGCATGCACGCATCTCCAGCAAATTAAGATTTTTTTTGTCATTAAATATGTGATTATTGCCGGGAAAATATGATAATACAATTGGATTATCACCTCTGTATGGTTTCTGTATTTTTTTTAGATAACTTTTGGTAATGATACAGGCAAATTTGACTTAGAAGTGACTACATTTCAAATGGGAGTATTATTTGCATGGAATCAGAGACCTAAAGATAAAATTAGTTACGAAAGTTTACGTTTAGCAACAGAACTACCAGATACAGAATTAAGAAGAACACTCATGGTAAGTTGAACTCTTAACCTTAGTGCCCATATTTGTCAAATTTATTGTGAAGTTTTTGATACACTAGAAGATGCCCGCGAAATTGCAGTACAATTGGGCAAGTGTTGAAACAAAGAGTGTCAAGGGTGCCTGTGTTTACACATAAAAAGGGGGGAGGGATCGGGATGTCGGATGCCTGTGTTTACACATAAAAAGGGGGAGGATCACTTCGACATGTTCAGCGCCCATTTAATTTTTTGACAGTTCTGCACCTGAGTAAAAAGGGTGGATGTTGTTTAATTTAGCAAAATGATGCACTTACAATACAATACAGGATCCTTATAGGCCTAACTGTCCTATTTTATATCCTTTCTTCTTACTTTCACTTGGATTTCACAGGCAGTACATCAACTGAGCATGCACAAAAGCATAGAAGACAAGGATCAATTACGGTCTCTGAATTTGGATATTTTTACAAAAATTGGGGTTTTCTGTGGAAAAAAGATTGTTTCAAAGACAAATAAAGGAAGTAAAATACACTACATTTATACGTCATATCACAAATATATCCGACTTTGTATGGTTTCAGAGGAGTTGAGGCTCAATGAAATCGGTCTCTTCCTTTAGTAGTAAAGATGTACATATGAAAAGCAGAATGTAGTGTTAAAAAAAAAATTAATTTGTTCAAAATGTCTTTTCATATTCATCTTGATAATGGTAATGGCACTTTTCTATTGTTAAAGACTGTATAAGAGAGGCAGAGAGGCCAAAGGGATATTCAAACTCATATTAAAGTTGAAAACAACCTGACAATGCAATGGCAAAAAACGAAAAACTACCAAAAGACAAACAACAGCATACAAAACACAACATAGAAAACTAAATACTGAGCAACACGAACCCCACCAAAAACTAGGGCTGATCTCAAGTGCTGCAGAAGGGTCGTCCTCCACATGTGGCACCCGTTGTGTATGTTGACTTCTAAATGTCTTTTTTATGCCACCACTCAGTGCAAGGGTATTGGTGTTAATCGTCTCTATTAATCCATCATTCCACAAATAGGGCATTTATGTATATTACTGTAAATTTAGAAATCATTTCATACATTAATTATTGCGATTTTTGAAGAATGGACTACAATACAAGATTATTTTGCGATTTTTGAAAAATCTGCATACCAAATTTATGTATCAGATTTCAGAATGCTAGTTCTTAATATTGCAATATGCACTCAGTTGCATTATTCACATAAATAAAATCCTCTCAATAATTTCTTAAACAGTATATAAGTATTTCTATTGCAGTCACTAGTAGCTTTTCCTAAGATAAAAAGGCAGCTGTTATTATGTTCACCTGAGGCTAAATCATTGAAAGAGTTTACTGATAGTACACAGTTCTGGGTAAACCAGGAATTCTCACTTATGTAAGTGTATTTCAAATGTATGTACCTTGAAAGACCATATATGGTGTCTAAGGAAAAAATGGGAAATTATTTATCCAAAGTTGTTGTAATTTATAAATTTATTAAGCCCCAAAAAAATGTCTGTTTCCTGCTTCCTTACCTATTCAAAGTTTGATCACGTACCCCAAAAGATTTTAATATTCAAGAAATAGAGTTTCATGTAGTTTGAGATGACTAGGATTACAATTTCTGCTAGATGATCAAGTCAAATTTGCTATTAGATTGACCAAAAAGTACAATAAGTTGACCTAGAAAATATTATTTCTTTCGCATAAGCAACAAGTATATTCAAAAATAAAAAGAACAACAATTTTAAGTAAGCATACAAATGTATGATTCATGTATTATTTCCTGTACAACTATTTTAATTCAAAATATATTGTTATTTTTTTACAGTAAAAATGGAAAAGTACAGAAAAGAGGTAAAATAAACTTAGTAGGACGTTTACAGTTATCCACAGAGAAGAGTCAAGAGGAAGACAATGAAGGCATCATGCAGCTTAGGATATTACGTGTTCAGGTACATAAAAAAATCCTTCTTAATTGCTAATTAATTTGATGTTGATTAAAGTGTTGATCTTTAGAAAGTACCGGATGAGATTGAAACTAGGCAAGTAATTGACACCATTAACCTTTGGAAAGTAACTGACATCATTGAAGGCCGTACCTATAGTTGTTAATTTCTATGTCATTTGGTCTCTTGTGGAGAGCTGTCTCATTGGCAACCATACCACATCTTATTTTTATATCATTGACTTTTTCACCATTAAAAAAACATTTTCTTTTAGATCATTCACTTATTTAATTGTTTGCTTTAGACATAGTAGGATGTTGCTAGAATGCAACCATTGAATAGAATCCTACAGCCTCACACAATTATGCCCCCAATCCTTTTAATAACAGGACATTTTATAGTTTGACAGTATTCCTTACTAGAACTTTTTAAGTATATATGTTTTGACCTTTTTTATAATTTTAAATTAGGACATTTAAAACTGAATTAGCAGTTTGAAAGTGTCTTTCAGTTGATTTGGGGATTTTAAAACTTAATCTATTATTTGGTTTATTTTCACAGGAAGCAATTGTAAAGATTATGAAGATGAGAAAGCGAATAACCAATGCAGCTTTACAGACTGAACTTGTAGAAATATTACGTAATATGTTTCTACCCTCTAAAAAACTGATTAAAGAACAAATTGAATGGTTGATAGAACATAAATATATGAAGAGAGACGAGGATAATATAAATATGTTTATTTATATGGCATAATGTACTAATGTAAACATCCCTTATTTGGCAATCTTAAAATGAATGGTGCTTGTCGATCGAAGCTGCTCTTCGCATTTGACTGACCTCATTTTTGTTCTTAGACTTCTTGTACCCTATACAACAAGTAAGGACCTGAAGCTCTCAGAAAATAAAAAAAAACTGGATAACTTATTGAAATGTTGAAAAAAAAAACCTGAAGCTCTTAGAAAATTTTCATCTATTCACCAACTGAATGAAACTTTTTTTGTTTAATAGTGTTTCATGTTGTTTTAGAAATTTAGAAATAGCAGCAGAGGACTGTTATCAGGTTCTTGCAGCAATTTTGATATACACAGTTTTTTACACCATATTATTTTCACAATTTGCCTTTAAGATCCATAATCTCACCTTTTATTTTAAAATTAGTTTTCTTTTCTTGATTCAGTTGTAACTGCCATTTTTTAAAGGTCTTTATTTTACCGTAAAAAAAAAAAAATATTGGTAATTTAACGGTCACACAAGAATATGCATATTCAAATGCATCATTTCCTGGAAAGGTTGTTTATGAAAAATGATGACTGTTGTTTGTCATAATTTGCTTATTTATGCCCATATTTTTGCATATTCCAAAACTATCGATGAATTTAAAATTAAGGAAAAGTATTGTTCATTATGGATAATTACATGTCTTAACCAAAATAATTATCCCATTATGTCATTGTTTTGAAATTTTATAAATGTTTTCCAGAAAAAAATTTTAATGCAGCAAATTTCAATATTCATGTGTTTTGATATATGTGTATACTTAAATTGAACACATGAGTTATGTTTCATCCTTTCAAAATTTCAGTGCTGTATGGCTTGAATAATTGATTATACAATGTATTATAAATAAGGGAAATTTGAGAGGGAAACTAATCAATACATCTTAGCTGAACTAACAATATGCTTATTTCTAGGGTCTAATTTGAATGTCCTTTAAACTATTTGTGTTGACATTGTACATAAAAACCTTCTTACCTTATCAAGATTTGAAGATCTGCTTTTAGATAATAAAAAATAGAATTGGAAAAAATAAGCATTTCAAATTTTGACATAAAAATAAAATAATGAAATATTTTGATACTGTAACATGATTGTATGGTACGACACATTATTCACAATTTTGTGTATATTTTTAATTGAGAACAGGTGTTAGTATATATTAACTGTCACTGTAAGATATAGCATTTAAGATCAGTTTCTTTTTTTTTTAAAAAGAACTTGTTTTTATCAGTTTTGAGAAAACCCCTACAACTTTTTTCAGAAACAAGGTTTTGAGACAAACCCATTCCAGTGACATTTCTGTACACTGTGCCATATTGATACCCCAGGGATGTTTTATCAACGGGCTTTCACATTCTAATTGTACATAATTTTACATTGTTTGTATATATGTAAACATTTTGTATATCTTTTAGTATCACATTAAGTATGGATGTTTAGTTCATTACATTTTAAGAATATATGCATAAATTTACATTTAGTTAAAAAATACCATAAAAATTTGATATTACCTAAGCAATTTTTTTGTACGAATGATTTTTTTAAAGAGAAAAACGAAATATCGAGGAAATAAAAGAGTAAAGAAATTACCCTGTCTGTCAACTGAAGAACATATGTTCATGAAACTTCAAAAAATAAAATATGCATACAACGAGGTGCATTAAGCAAAAATAATTATGATAAACCATTTTGAATGGAATATGATTGAAGATGTCTTGGAGAATGGGTAGCATGTTATGGACATGCTCAATATATCTCATGTTATCTCACTGGTAGTTTTCAATTTGTCATTTCTGAAACTAAAGGATTGTTGGTAATTTCATTGTTCGTAACCCAAAATGAAAATTACTTCACTTCATTGGCTGAATTTTCATTTTTTAGGACTTTGTAAGCCAATCACAATGTTTTGGTGTATGTTGTGAAAACATTACCCACAATTCATTAGATTTTGAAACGGCGAATTGATAGGGGGTAATGTGTCCTGTCTTCAACAACCATGTTTTTAAATATCAATAGTACAGATTTAAGAATGTTCGCTACTCTTGTTTTTGACTTTTTGTCTGATATTTGGAGTGCTCTAGTTTTATCCATGTAGTGCCAATAAATATTTTGCCCACTAACCCTTACTTTTCTTTTCATACTTTCATTACATATAGTTGATAAAGCCATTTTTGAAAATCTTATGAATTCCTTGTTAATTTTTCATAGTTTTTGAAAGAAAAAAGGTGCCAATGTTAAACGTATGAAAAATCTAGAGAGAATCATTTCCCACCAAATTTTCGATCGATTATATCTTAAAAACTAGGAGACAGAGTCACAGACCTGTCATTTTTTTCCTACTTTTTAAGTTTCTTTATTTATATACTATCAATTTATAACAGTCTTTGTTAAAAAGCTTGTTATTTTCAAGAGGAGGAGCAATAATCTTCAAACAACGGTACATTGATTAGGGAGCTACCATTTGATTTTTATGGGGGGGGGGGGCTAGAATGAAAAATTTTGTCCTGCATTTTTTTTTAAGTTGTAATCTCTGTCCTGCCTTTTTATTTTTCACTCTATTTGATCCGGCCTTTTTTTTTATATAAAAATCAAATGGTAGCTCCCTTAGGAACATTTTCAGATGTTTATCATTAAATGTAGCATAAAGTTTATATGGTTATTTTCAACTAAGTGTACCATTTCTTGTGTGAAAGCGAGTTTTGAATTTCAATATATATAAAGTAATAATTGTTGGTATTTATGTTTTAACATTTGTTTTGTGTCATATGAAACATATTATTTTCATTATTTAGCTTGCACTGTAAACCATTTCTTCTATGTCATGAATATATTTAATTCTTTTGATACAGAGGATTGCCTCAGAATTTGATGACACTTAAGTATTGATATATTATTCAAGTTCTCTCTTGGTCAGCTTGACCATCTGTGAAGACACTATGGTAAAATTTAGATAAAAATTTTTGGTCAATTTGTCACTGGGTTTCTGTCTAGTTTATATTAGCCCCACCTTTTTTGGTATTCACATTGTTTGTGTGAAACTTTTATATCAATGATTACAGTATATAGATAAGAAATAAATGTACATGAGTCAATGTTCCCAAAACACAGTGTAAAACAAACAAACTAAGTTCACAATATTTTCTTCAATTTATAATTTAGAATTTGACCATATAAAGAAACAGCAAATTGAAAGAAGATTTGCTTTGATTTTAACAAAAACAATATCGACTTTGTCAAATCATTGATATAATGTATGAGCTTTTCTTAAAACAAAAAAACTGCATATTTGACAGAAATTTTTATCATTCAGCATAATAGATAAATCATGGCAGTGAATTACTTCCCCTTTGTAGCAATTAATTACTTCCCTTTTGTAGATGCGAATACTTGTTAAATTGAATGTAAACTGAATGTATATCATCAAAATAAAAAAAAAACTTAGTCATTATTGAAAGTTTTTTGTTGTTGCTAAGAACAGTTTAAATGACAAAAAAACTTGTCAATTGGTTAAGTCTGTATGTTGAAATCTAGTTGGTTTTTCTGGATGTTATTATGTTGTTGGCATGTGGTATCATATACCCAAATTTTCTTATATCAGGTTTATATATTTAAAATCATTGTTGATCTATATCAAGTTGAACACTACTCAATATCTAAGTTGCTTCTTTGATGTTTATAAACGGGGAATTTAAGGTTGGAGGGTCCTCTTATGTTTTTACTTCGAATTAAACAAAAAATTGATGAACAAGCATATAGATGTAAAATTAAGTCATTACAAATATGAAATTTAAAGAGTGATTTTAGAGAAAAAAAAACTTTAGAAATGTGTGAATCCATGAAAAATCACATCTCTTCTTATAAAGGGTATCAAAATACATTTAAAAGGTGTCAAACATCAATCCTGAAGTAACACTGTAATTGAAGATAGTAAAGTGAGCTTCAGGAGTTACAATAATTGATGTTGTTTTCATATATTGGATCATCAAATATAGATGAACGCTATTATAGTAATGCAGAATAAGAAGGATGTTCGACTTCTTTTCAATTTATATAAATGACATTTATAGACAGTGACAGATATATTGCTATACATTTGTCCCTCTGTAAACATATTGAACAGTAACTCAATCTTGTCTTGAGGGTCTTATTTCTTTTTGATTATTTTCACTTTTATCATTCCAGTGTTATAGGATTTTAATCTTTGAAGGATAAAAAAATTTCAGAAGTATGCTTTAAGCCATTTATTTCAAATTTAGCAAATTATTAAGAATGGTCTGAGAGTCTGTAAACTTTTGATGATCTTCACTTTTGCTGTTCCAAAGCTATGAGACTTTTATCTTTGAAAATATGAAGTTTGTCATCTTGTGTCCTGCACTAACTCAAGTATACAGAGTAAATTACAATCTTTACCAAGTTAATAACAATGGTGGTCTGAGGGTCTACACGCTTTTGTATATATTCACTTTTTTCATTCCACAGTTATGGGAGTTAGATAAAAAGCAGAGGTATATTGTATGCCCCATCGTAGCTGAGGGGGGCATTAAGTGTTACCCTTGTCCGTACGTACATATGTCCCAAAATTGGTTTCCGTTCTCTAACTTTAGTTTGCTTCAACCAAATATAATGAAACTTATACACAACGCTTATACCCACAAAACACAGATCAAGTGTGAATTTGGGTGGTGTCACTTTTACTGTTCTGGTGTTATGTCCCTTTACATATGGAAAAATTGCTGAACTTTTCGTTTCCGTTCTCTATCTTCGAAATTTGGGTGGTGTCACTTTTATCGGTCTCGAATTATGCCTCTTTATAACATTATATGCAAGCGGGGGCATCCTCTCTATTTATTTTTCAAATATTTTTTTTAAGTATATGCCTCTAAATAATCTAATATGCATTCATGAAATTTTTAAACAAAGTTTTTATCATTCAATAACCTGTATTAAGTATGTTCGCTACTCTGTTTCAAAATAACAAGCTTTTTAAAGACTGTTTTAAGTTGATAGTATATAAATAAAGGAACTAAAAAAGCAGAAAAAAATGAAAGGCCCGTGAGCTTGTTTTTCGAAATATAAGCCATTGAAAATTTGGCGGGAAATGATTCTCTCTAGATTTTTCATACATTTAACATTGGCACATTTTTTCTTTCAAAAACTATAAAAAATAACAAGGATTTTTTATATTTTTTAAAAAGGCTTTTAAAATTATATGTAATAAAATCCTGAAAAGAAAAACAGGGCAAAATTTGTAATGGCACTTCATGGATAAAACCAGAGGATTCCGAATATCTTGCAAAAATTCAAAAACAAGAGGAGGGAAAATCCTTAAATCTACATACAATATCTACTCTCACTGATTTTTGGATGGATATACCATACTAGCACAGTTGTCTATTGTTAAATTATTTATCAAGGGAAAAAGAGTTTTATAAGTTATAATCTTTGCATAGGGACTTCTACTTCTTGGTAGTTAATGTTGTGAGACATTTTTGAGACATATTCTTATCATTCAGTGATAAATGTGATTGGAGCTTTGTGTAATTTTTTTTAGGTCACAACTTTATAATGTTACTTTTATCATATGAATGAGTTTTGTGAATGTTGATTTACGCAAGTATGAAAAAATGAAGCCTGAACTTATGATATCTATGAATTCTGGAGTTTTAAATCCCTCCCATATTTATAAATACATTTCACTGATGGTAATCAATTGTCTTAAGATTTAATGAGAATGTTTTGGTCATTTAATTATCACTGATGCCATCCCCACCTCTTACAAAAAATTTGAAACTTTTGCTAACAGGTTTAAAGCATTTAGATTCAGATAATAGGAGAAATATTTTTTCTTTATTTGCCTTTAAGCAAATATAGTCACTGCTTCTATAGGCAGGAGCAATTTAAAGAAAATATTTACTGGGATTGTAGGTGCAGTCAGTATGCTTTTTAATCAAACAGTATTAGAATTAATACAATATCTCAACGGATTTAAACCAATACCTGTGGAACTATATTCAAAATTATTATGTTGTAATATTTATTATTCTAAATGTCGGTGACTTCGTAACATTTTAAAAACCTCGCAGTTAAAGATTCCTACTTAATTTAAATTTTTGGCTATATGTGTTTTTTATTTGTGAATTTTTCTTGGAAATAGGATTTTCAAAAATTTATAAAATTCATTATGTATCTGCATAACTATTTTTAAAATCATATTTTGAAAATTGTATTATTTAGTATTGAAAACATGTAGCAATGAATTCCAGATTTTCAGATCTTAGAAAAAAAATCAAACAGGAAAAAAATCATTGATAAAAAAAATTAAAAGGATAGTTGTTTATAGATCATGACATTTATTGTTGAATGTTATTTGTGTGATGAATCACTAATAGTGAAATAAAGAAATATCTTTCTATATCTGAGTTGAGGTTCTGTTTTTATACGACCTCAAAAATTAAAATTTTTTGGTCGTATATTGGTATGACGTTGGCGTCGTCGTCGTCGTCATCGTCCGAAGACACATTGGTTTTCGCACTCTAACTTTAGTCTAAGTGAATGGATCTCCATGAAATTTTACCATAAGGTTCAATACCACAAAAGGAAGGTTGGGATTGATTTTGGGGGTTATGGTACCAACAGTTAAGGAATTAGGGGCCAAAAAGGGGCCAAAAATAAGCATTTTTGTAACTTCCAGACATAACTTGTGTGTTAGTGTATGGATCTCTCTGACATTGTACCACAAGGTTCCATATCACAAAGGGAATGCCTGGATTGATTTTGGGGGTAATTGCCTCAATATTTTAGGAATTAGGGGCCAAAAAGGGGCAAAAAACAAGCATTTTTCTAGTTTCGGGACAATAACTTGTGTGTAAGTGTATGGATCTTTCTGAAATTGTACTACAAGGTTCCATATCACAAAGGGAAAGCTGGGTTTGAGTTTGGGGGTAATTGCCCTAAACGTTTAGGAATTTGGGGCCAAAAAGGGGCCAAAAAACACATTTTTCTAGTTTCCAGACAATAACTTGTGTTCAAGTGTATGGATCTCTCTGAAATTGTACTGCAAGGTACCATACCACAAAGGGAAGGCTGGGATTGAGTTTGGGGGTGATGACTCACAAGGGGGTTCAAAAAATTTGGGGGGGGATTTTTTTTTTTCCTTTTTTTCCTTTTTTTTTCTTTTAAAATTTTCCATTTTAAGTTGGTTATTTCTGATTTATATTTAAAAGCAAATAATAATGATATGGTAGGAGATACACACCAAACAGGATGTGTAAATTATTATATACCGGTAATAAGTATTGTGCAATAGCAAGAAATTTTCAATTGCACAGTATTGCACAATAGCAAGAAATCTTCAATTGCACAGTATTGCGCAATAGCAAGAAATCTTCAATTGCACAGTATTGCGCAATAGCAAGAAATATCCAATAGCACAATATTGCGCAATAGCAAGAAATTGTCAATTGTACAGTATTGTGCAATAGCAAGAAATATTCAATTGCACAGTATTGTGCAAAAGAAGATACTTCGTATAAATTGCTTATTTCTTGACCAATTTCAATGGGGTTTTATTCTTGAATTCTTGGGGTTCTTTAATATGCTGAATCTAACCGTGTATTAAGTTTTTGGATTTTTGGGCCCCGTTTTTAAATTGGTCCACATTGAGGTCCAAAGGGTCCAAAATTAAACTTTGTTTGATTTCATCCAAAATTGAATTATTGGGGTTCTTTGATATGCCGAATCTAGCCGTGTATTTAGATTCTTAATTTTTGGTTCCTTTTTGTCGAGCCTTCGACTTTAGTCGAAAAAGCGAGACATAGCGATCCTACATCCCGTCGGCGGCGGCGTCCACAAATATTCACTCTGTGGTTAAAGTTTTTGAAATTTTAATAACTTTCTTAAACTATCCTGGATTTCTACCAAACTTGGACAGAAGCTTGTTTATGATCACAAGATAGTATCCAGAAGTAAATTTTGTAAAAATAAAATTCCATTTTTTCCGTATTTTACTTGTTTTTCTGCCGGGAAATATTACATTCACTCTGTGGTTAAAGTTTTTAAAATTTTAGTAACTTTCTTAAACTATCCTGAGTTTGTACCAAACTTGGACAGAAGCTTGTTTATGATCATAAGATAGTATCCAGAAGTAAATTTTGTAAAAAAATAAAATCGATTTTTTCCTTATTTTACTTTTAAATGTACTTAGATTTTCTGCCAGGAAACAACACATTCACTCTGTGGTTAAAGTTTTTAAAATTTTAATAACGTTCTTATACTATTTTGGATTTTTACCAAACTTGGACAGAAGATTGTTTATGATCAAAATCTAGTATCTAGAAGGAAATTTTGTAAAAATAAATCCATTATTTCCGTATATTACTTTTAAATCGACTTAGATTTTCTGCCAGGAAACAACACATTCACTCTGTGGTTAAAGTTTTTAAAATTTTAATAACGTTCTTGTACTATTTTGGATTTTTACCAAACTTGGACAGAAGATTGTTTATGATCAAATGCTAGTATCTAGAAGGAAATTTTGTTTTCTTCCAGTTAACATTACATTCAGTCTGCAGTTAAAGTTTTTAAACATTTATTAGATTCATAAACTATCCTGGATTTTTACCAAACTTGGACAGAAGCTTCTTACAATCAAAAGATAGTATCAAGAGGAATATTTTTATTGATTTACTTCCTCATTTTTGTTGAGCCTGTGATTAACAGAAAAAGTAGGCGAGACACTGGGTTCCACGGAACCCTTACGAATTTTTATACGCCCGTTTACGGGACATATTATGGTATACCGTTGTCCGTCTGTCCGTCCGTCCGTCTGTCCGTCCGTCGTCAACATGTCAGACATTAACTCATAAACGCTTAAACCAATTTGCATAAAACTTTGGTGAATTGTTTATATCTATTGACGTGAGCTCCCTTTCGTTTTTTATAAATTTTGAATTTTACGTTTCTGAGTTATGGGGTTTTATTCATTAAAAAAAGGGGGATTTTCCAGTTTTCGGACAATAACTCAAGAATGCTTTCACCAACTTGCAAGAAATTGTGGTGAATTGTTTATATCTATTGACATGAGCTCCCTTTTGATTTTTATAAATTTCAGATTTTACGTTTCCGATTTACAGGGTTTTATTCATAAAAGAGGGGGATTTTCCAGTTTCCTGACAAAAACTCAAAAATGCTTTCAGCAGTTCTTATGAAACTATGGTGAATTGTTTATATCTATTTAAGTAAGCTCCCTTTAGAATTTTATAAATTTTACATTTTACATTTCTGAGTTATGGGGTTTTATTCATTAAAAAAGGGGGGATTTTCCAGTTTTCGGACAATAACTCAAAAATGCTGTCAGCAATTCTCATGAAACTTTGGTGAATTATTTATATCTATTGATGTAAGCTCCCTTTTGATTTTCATAAATTTCTAATATGACATTGAGAATTAATTGAACTTTATTTGTTTATAGTCTGACAACAGATTTACTAAGTATTGCGCAACAGCACAGTGTATTGCACAACAGCAAGAAATCTTTAATTGAATATAAATTCAATTCATATAAACAATTTCAAGTTCTTTGACTACATTTATTCAGAAACCTGTAATATGTCAAATATTTAATTACAATCCAAATTCAGACCTGTATCAAGCTTGAATATTGTGTCCATTTTTGCCCCAACTGTTCAGGGTTGGACCTCTGCGGGCGTATCCAGCTGCGCTCAGCGAAGCAGTTTATTCAAATTGATCTACATTAAGGTCCAAAGGGTCCAAAATTAAACTTAGTATGATTTTAACAAAAATTGAATATATGGGGTTCTTTGATATACTGAATCTCACCATGTATTTAGATTTGGGATTTTTGGGCCCCGTTATCAACTTTGTCCACATTGAGGTCAAAAGGGTCCAAAATTAAACTTTGTTTGATTTCATCAAAAATTGAATTCTTGGGGTTCTTTGATATGCTGAATCTAACCATGTATTTAGATTTTGGATATTGGACCATAACAGGTGAATGTCCAATTTAAAATTTTTAGTTCTTAGACCACATTCATTCTGATTCAGAAACCAATGCTGTGTCAAATATTTAATCACAATCCAAATTCAGAGCTGTATCAAGCTTGAATGTTGTGTCCATACAAAAATTGAATTCTTAGGGTTCTTTGATATGCTGAATCTAAACATGTTTTTAGATTTTTGATTATGGGCCCAGTTTTCAAGTTGGTCCAAATCGGGGTCCAAAATTAAACTTTGTTTGATTTCAACAAAAATTGAATATATGGGGTTCTTTGATATGCTGAATCTAACCATGTATTTAGATTATTGATTTTTGGGCCCTGTTATCAACTTTGTCCACATTGAGGTCAAAAGGGTCCAAAATTAAACTTTGTTTGATTTCATCAAAAATTGAATTCTTGGGGTTCTTTGATATGCTGAATCTAACCATGTATTTAGATTTTGGATATTGGACCATAACAGGTGAATGTCCAATTCAAAATTTTTAGTTCTTAGACCACATTCATTCTGTGTCAGAAACCAATGCTGTGTCAAATATTTAATCACAATCCAAATTCAGAGCTGTATCAAGCTTGAATGTTGTGTCCATACAAAAATTGAATTCTTAGGGTTCTTTGATATGCTGAATCTAAACATGTATTTAGATTTTTTATTATGGGCCCAGTTTTCAAGTTGGTCCAAATCGGGGTCCAAAATTAAACTTTGTTTGATTTCAACAAAAATTGAATATATGGGGTTCTTTGATATGCTGAATCTAACCATGTATTTAGATTTTTGATTTTTGGGCCCCGTTATCAACTTTGTCCACATTGAGGTCAAAAGGGTCCAAAATTAAACTTTGTTTGATTTCATCAAAAATTGAATTCTTGGGGTTCTATGATATGCTGAAACTAACCATGTTTTTAGATTATTGATATTGGACCATAATAGGTGAATGTCCAATTTAAAATTTTTAAGTTCTTAGACCACATTCATTCTGTGTCAGAAACCTATGCTGTGTCAAATATTTAATCACAATCCAAATTCAGAGCTGTATCAAGCTTGAATGTTGTGTCCATACTTCCCCAACTGTTCAGGGTTTGACCTCTGTGGTCGTATCAAGCTGCTCCCTGCGGAGCATTTTATTACAGATTGCACACTTGAAAAGTTAGTTCCAAAGTTACTATAATTTGCCTTATTATACACTCCACAAACAAAGTTTGGGGGGTAAACATTGTATAGGAATCACCTTTTCCGTCTGTCCTGCTTCATGTACAGTGTATAGTTTAGGTTGATCTAATTTGGTATGTAGATGCATTGTGGGCTGGGGATGTGTCATATACCAAAGTCAGTTCACTTTGACCTTGACTTTGACCCCTATGAAAGTAAATCCTTGTCCAGTGCGTGTCCAGCTCACAA